CCGCTCTTCTCCTCGTCCTCTCCCCCTCCTGCCTGCTCTGTTATCCGCGGCAGACACCCTCGCCCCGCGTATGACAAACACGGACTTTAAACGTAGTTTTATAACATCCACGCTGGTGAGGTGGATGCGCCCTGCACGTGTTTCCAGAGCCTGCTGTTCTTGTCAGGGAAGGGTCTGTGGGTCAGGGAGGGGTCTGTGGGTCAGGGTCGTCTGAGGAGGAAGCAGATGAAGGGAGTTGCGCACGGGAACTTTTATTTAAGATTTAAGKTTTTTTTCAAAGGTCCTCATGGCTCAGCAGCAGAAGCATAAATATTACAGTTAAGAAAGCTGATGATAAAGTTGAATAAAAATCTAAGTCTGATTATGAAGGTAAATTAAATATCTGACAGTGATCATGACACAGTGTGGCTCTAATTCCTCACTTCCTGTCTCCAAAATGAGCGTACACATGGGTCAGAGCTGGCGTGAGGCACCGCACATTTTCACGTCAAGTTTGGATTTTATAAATCAYAACGTTGGCGTAAAAAGTGGCGTACACAGGTTTCTGGGCTCAAATTGTGCGTACGCCAGTTTTATAAATCCGACCCCAGGTTATTCCATCAGTGGATTTTTTTCCCTGATGGCACGGGGGCATTCCGAGATGACAATGCCAGGATTCATCTGACTGGAATTGAGTGGTTCAGGGAGCATGAGACATCATTTTCACACATGGATCAGCTCCACAGAGTCCACTGAGAATCTTTGGGATGTGCTGGAAAAGGCTTTGTGCAGAGGTCAGACTCTACCATCATCAATGCAAGATCTTGGTGAAAAATGAATGCAACACTGGATGGAAATAAAACTTGTGACATTGCAGAAGCTTATTGAAACAACACCACAGTGAATCTGCGCCGCAATCAAAGCTAAAGGCGGTCCAATGAAATATTAGTGTGTGACTTTTTTTTTGTATGTTGGTCCTGCAGTGTATGAGTGCATTTTAAAACTTGTTTTTCATTATGTCAGCACTGAAGTCATTAAACACACTTTTCTGTTTTTAGTCCAGCTGAAGCTGATGATTCCAGTGAGGAGAGTRACGCATCAGACGACGAACACGAAAGCACAGACGAGTCAACAGGGTCACAACAGGAAGAAAAAGAAGACTGAATTAAAGACAAAAAGTTATTTTAATACAAAGACCATATTTATGTAAAAACTTTGCCTAAAAAGTCGGGAAGCAGTAAAATAAAAGAGGAATGTAATGATTTGCTATTCTTTTATGGACTGGATTGTTTCAGTTTTGGAAAGATCATTTGTGCTCAATTTTAATTTGATGCCAAAAAGAAAAAGTGATGAGGCAACGTCAAATTGATAAAGAGTTTTATAAGGAGATAACTCCCCCCACCAATAAATGAACTATTTGTTGGTCAGATGATTGCTAGCCGCTCAAAAAGAGCATCAGGCACACTTCAATGACCTCATAAACAAAACTTTTTTTTTATGGGAGGCCACCCAAACTAAAATCTAGAACAGAATTTCAGGAGTTTTGTCATGTTGTCAGATTAACCTTTTAAATTTATATTTACAAGAAAAATGTACAAATAATGCTTTCTGGTCAACAGGGGTGCGTCCTGTCAAAGATTTAAGTATCATGAACTCAATAATGGGTAGCCTAATGCAGTGTTTCCCAAAGTTGGGGTCGGGACCCAAAGTGGGGTCCCAAAGCATCAAGGTGGGGTCCTGAAAAGATTTTCTGAATTAATTACATTTTTGCCTTAGTTGTTACAAAGGAGTGAGGTTAGTGTCTTTAAAATAGATAAATGTAGTATAAAAAATATTGTTACTATGCCCATGTTTAGTTGACCTGATACAAATGTTTATCATCCAAAAATAGTTGGGGGCACAGGTCTCTGCTACTGT